ATATATCTGTGTGCATATATCACTACAGATCAAATGTAATATCCATCATACATATAAATAAACCTTTTTCAAAAGTTGATGGATGGCACCCTACCAAATAGTTCATATTTATCTCATAAGTGACAAACAGTATGCAAGATGATAACGATTTAATTGTGGTACAGTTTGGTTGGACAATAAGTCCTCAAAAGAGCCCAGACAAAATGGTGCTTCTCATGGTTATTGGAGGGACATATAAGCTGGATAGGCCGATAAAGTAAAAAACTAAAAAACTTCATCAGCATACACTGGAATTTAACAAAATATCCAAAAACAAAAGAAAAAACACCCTGAGAATTAATTAGGGGGAAATGTACCTTTAAGGGATGAGATAAGCACCAATACTTGTATAAGCAGCATACATTGTTATTAATATCACAGACATGGTTTAATAGTGCTTGGTCGTAATATAAGTACAAAATAAAGTAGTGAGAACCTCTACAGCTGCAATTTTTGGATATTTTGTTAAACTTCCAATAACCATGAGAAGCACCATTTTGTCTGGGCCCTTTTGAGGACTTATTGTCCAAACAAACTGTACCACAATTAAATCGTTATCATCTTGCATACCGTTCATCACTTATGAGATACATACAAACTGTTTGGTAAGTTGCCCTCCATTAAACTTTTGAAATAGGTTTATTTATATGTATGATGGATATTACATATGATCTGCAGTGATTTAAACTTGCTTCATTTTGATATATGCACACAGGATATGTAATTTGTTGGTATATTTTGTAATGAACATGAATCTGTTGTTGTAGGTGTTATATAAATATCTCCTGAAGAAGCCTGAAATAGGCGAAATATGTTGCGATATATAACATACCAGAAACATTTCTTTGAACAAGTACAACTAACAATTTTGGGACATTAAAATGTATCTCTTTTTTAAATTAATTCAACAATAAACATTGTACATTTTAGCTTTTGTCGTTGTTCTATCATTCAAAATCCCGCTATTTTCTTCCATGTGAAGAGTTTTTTTCTCCTCTCCTTTCCTTTTTGTTTCTTCTTTTTTTCTCTTGATATTTTGTAAAAATTTGGGATGTGGTGCTGTTGAGCTCCTCTCTGAATATCACTACTCATACTATAATTTAGCTAATTCTGTAGATGTATTATTCTGCCAGATTGTACTATAAAAGGTAAAACCAGTAACACATTGTAATTGTTTGACTTTATTCCACATTTTTTTTTTCTGTTGGATTTATGGAAGTCTAGGGACTTCAACCCTGAGGGCAGATTCCGCGATTTTGTAAAATGGAGAATTGATATTGTAGAATCCCTTTTTGACCTATCTGCTTCCTGAGATTGTACCCAACCCCCAACCATGTGCTGCAACTGGGCATCAAAATTACATAACCACGGGTTTGTCAGGGCCACTTCCCCATGTCTTTTAGGCACTGGAACTGTTCATATTTAACCCTGGGGACCTGGCATTTCCATAGAAAGTTCCAGAATACAGAATTGATAATATGGTAATTTTTTAGTGGGATAATTATTGGGGCTGTTATGAAGAAAATATAGGAATTGAGGCATAGAATCATTTTTATAAGATGAGGCCTCATTCACATCTAGCAATGACAGATCATTGCATTCTTTGCACACTTTTTTGGCGCATTTGTGGAGCAACACCATTTAGTTGAATGGGCTGCCCTCTGCTCTAAAGACATGCTAAATTAGCTCCTGTACCCTTTTTTGGACCACAATTTGGTGTACATTTGGACAGCACATTTTGTCAAAATATAAAACGCCCATTTCTTGGTGTGTTTGGTAGCCATTAAGAATGATAGAACCAAAACATGCGTTGTGTGTTTCACAATTCTGTTTGTGATTTTGATGCTCTAAAGTGTGAACAGGGCCTTAGTCTTTCCTACTAGCAATAACCATAATTTATTTCATACTTTCACCTTGTCCCTGGAACATGTAAGCAGAAGGGATATATTTCCATCTAGTAGTAACATCAAGGCTAGCTTCAACCAATTAATGGTGAGTCTTGAGTATGTGTCAAAATCTGAGATGGTAGACATCGCCAACTGAAGGGAAGAGGTAGCTCCACCTAACATCAAATTAATGTCCACAGCATATAATATAATTTCCATATCTGAAACCGACTATGTTCATATTAGATCTGATGATGGCCACCAGCCGCTTAATGGCTAAAGCTAACAAAAGTGGTGAAAGCAGGGATCCTTGCCTTATTCCCTTGCTGAACTCAAATGTAGGGGACATGCTTCTGCTCTCCTTAATAGTTGATTTCAGGCTTTAATATAGCAACCTTAAGCAGGAGATATATACTTCACCAAATACAAATTTTGATAACACTGCCCAAATATAAATACTATCAAAGAACCTACAGCAATAGACAGCAGTTGATTTTTGGAGGCAGGAATCCTGTCTGATCTTACAAGAACAAAGACAACTTTATTAAATCTGGAAGCCAATATCTTCACTAGTATTTTTACGTCAGTCTGAAGCAGTGATGTTTTCCTATTACTATTGTCCAATCTCATCCAGACATTAAAAAAAAAAAGTATCTTCTTTAATTAACTAATTGCATTAATCACACTAAGTGATTTTCATAGGTAAATATAAACTAGGAAATCAATGGCCATTATTCTGGCTTACTTATACATTTATAAAGTCACACTGAATTTATTGTCACATGCCACTACATTTTAGCTTTCCCTTATAATATTCTTTATACACTTAAAATATTTGTCAGTAAAAAGAATGTGTTGTTTTTAATCTTCTCTACTACTCAGATGATTCATGTATTATTTACTTCCTGGAATCCATCTGCCCTTAGCTTGGGCATAGACTGAGCTGAGAACCCTCCATCCTCTCCTGAAGACTGCTGGGATGTATGACATCATTTGCATAGGCATGGAAACCAGAAAGTAACTGAAGAAATGTAAAAAAAAAGTTTAAAAAAGTAAATGTGATATATTTTCCTATCTATTTACTAATTCTAACAGCATTAAGATTAAAAATAGTCCATGTTGATTGAGAGACTGAAGTTCCACTTGAAGCAGTTACAGCAAACAGTTTTTTTTTCTTTTGGGATAAAGGTTTTACATAAATCAATGAAAGCTAACCATTGTAAGCACCCTTGCCGGTGGAGAATGGTTTGTCTCATCCCTGTAACTGCTACATTTGCAGGAGAGCTTGTTCTTTTGAAAAATAACAAACTTAATCCCAGTACACACTTAATCCCAGTTCAACAGGAACCGGCCAACTTTCAGTCTGTATGTATAGCTGTATGTTCAACAGGAGCTGGTCTAATGACCTGTCAGAATACAATATCTCAGAGGGAGAGATTTCTGCAGCAACAATGTTTGCGTTGATATGGGAATCTGTCAGGGTTTTTTTCCATTCAGCCAGTTGAATGGAAAAAAAAAGTGTGTGTACCCAGCTTTATTGGCTGCATCACCTGATGAAAATAAGGTAAAGAAAGCCTAAAAAAAGAAAACTAATGCAGCCATCACATCTAAGAATTTATTAAGCAGCAGTAAAATACATGTTTGCTTTTGGGTTTATTACCACCTTAACCCAACCCTTAGTCCACTAACTCTTGACCATAGTCCATTCCAAACATAACTCCTTAAGAAAACCAATCAACCCCTTAAAAATACCTAATTCCTACAATTTATTGTATCAATTATTACTGTACTACAGAAGAAACATTTTGTGTGTATTCACCAATAACATGGAAGTAGTTTATATCCAAGCTTTAAAATCAATTTTGTTTTTGACAATGTAAGGCACAATTAGTTTTTTTTTCCTTCAAAATAATGTTCAAGGTTATTAATTTTTAGAGCAAGTATAATAATGATTTAATTACCTTTGTTAAGTTCAAAGAAATGTGCTTCTCTCTCATTTTAAATTCAAATATCTGATAAATTCTTAATGAATTTTGTCTTTTCTTTATGTCATTGTTATAGTGTTGAGCGTGTGGGCTTGGAGTGGGCTGTATCACTGACATGTTGATGATTTCTGATGACTTGCCCAGCAGAGCTGCTATTGGCATTTCAAAAATCTTTTCCATATCAAGCATGGATGCCTGGATGAGAACACAATTCAACATTTTCAGGTTCACTTAGACAATCCAAGTTCAATAGGCAAGCAAAGGAAAGCACATGTCAGCTTGCTGAAACAGAGGATATGTGATCTGTCCCTCAGTGTTAATACTGTACGGGCACGCATGTGGATACTGTATCTTCCCAGAAGGTCAGGGAGTCAAAGCTTGAAGAATTTCTGTGTCCATGAACAATCAAAATAATACACAGATCCACTGAACACTCACCATCAGTACATTTCAATGTGTATTTACTGTTTTATCTTAGATTTACATATAATATAATGATGAGCAAATCTACACAGTGATCTTATTAATGCATGATTAAGTCAATGAGCAAAAATAAAGTACAAAAATTGAAGGGGAAATGTCAACCAGAAAAGAGTGAATTGGACATGCAATAATTAAAATAATTAGGTATTTATGATTATTGTTTACTGATATTACAATGTAATACTAGATTAATTTTTTTATAAATAAGTAGAGTCTGGGCACAAGACAAAAGGGAAGGGTATAAAGGTTATGAATCTATGCAGTTTTTTGTTAGGTTTAAAGGAAAACTCAAATTGCATTAAAAATGTATAATAAAATTAATTTGATAAAATTGACCTTTCATTTTCTTTCTGCTGCCAGACAAGATTTTCTGTAATTGTCAAATAAGTTAAAATCTTCAATTAAGTTCAATATCTAAATTCAAATAAGTTCAATATCTTCCCTTCAGCCATGGCAGTAGTGTGTTTGTAGACAAAATGCCTGGTTGTCCTATCCCCCTGCTGCTATATTTGGTTTGCTGTCTTTTCAAGTGTGCATACACTTCACCTGAGCACCACAAGCCAAAAATGCTATTTCATTAATTTTTTTCACTTTTCAAAGAAAACTCACCCACAGGGGTGGACTGACCATTTGGATACTCGGGCACTGCCCGAGGGTCTGGGGTCAGTAGGGGGCCCCATGAGTTGTCACGGGTACCTTTTTCATAGGCTTTTTTAAGTTTGGGAAAGGACACAGGGGCCCCATGATCCCCTATGGCCCGGGGGCCCCAGGAGTTGTCAGTCCGCCCCTGCTCACCCATCCTTCCATGTCTCCATTCTTTTTTTTTATGAGAAATTACTTTCAAAAACTTCCTCCTATCATTCCTAGCCTTGGCCATCTTGAGTAAAAGCAGATGATTTATATAACAATTACTTCCTGGAATCCACCTGCCCGTAGCTTAGGTGTGCATGCAGGAGGGTGTGCTTAGCTGAGAAAATCCTTCCTCCCCTCCTGAAGACTTCTGGGATGTAGGACATAATTTGCCTAGGCCTGGAAAGGAAGAAGCAGCCAAAGAAATGTAAAAAAAAAGTTTAAAACAAGTAAATATAATATACCATCCTGTCTATTTACTAATGGTGGCAGCATAAGGATTAATCATTTGGCAACTGCGCTATAACCGAATGACGGCTACAGCACGGTTGTCCAGTTCAGGAAGGGTGTCATATGATGTCCTCCCAGAACTCGCTCTCCCACGTGCCCCCAGCGGCGTGCACCTGGCGATCTCCGGTGATGTGGTAAAAGGCCAATCACAGCTGCCTTTTACTAAGTGATCAGCTGTGTCCAATGACACAGCAGATCACCGGGTAAATGCAGTTGCCGGTTATTGGCTGCACTTTCCTCAGGCTGTCACAGCGTGAGGAAAGTACTGCCGATAACCGGAAATTGTCAGAAAACAGATCTGCACTGATCATCAGGGGATGCAGTGCCCTGATGATCAGTGCCCACCAGTGCCACCCACCTCTGCCACCTACCTGTGCCCAGCAGTGCTCCCCATCATTGCCACACATCAGTGCTGCCTAGCAGTGCCACCAGTCAGTGCCCAGCAGTGCCACCAGTCAGTGCCCAGCAGTGCCGTCAGTCAGTGCCACCCATCAGTGCCCATCAGTGCTGCTCATCAGTGCCGCCTATCAGTGCCCAGCAGTGCCGCCTATCAGTGCTGCCTATTAGTGCCCATCAGTGCTTTCTATCAGTGTCCATCAGTGCTGCCTATCAGTGCAGCCTCATCAATGCACATCAGTGAAGGAGAAAAATTACCTGTTTGCAAAATTTTATAATAGAAACAAAAGGAAAAACTTTTTTTTTCAAATTTTTTGCTAATTTTTTGTTTATAGCGCAAAAATAAAACACCCAGTGGCGATAAAAAAAAAGCATCCTTTAGCAGACAGAAATTAATATTCAGTAGGTTAGACATTATACTATCAGCCTCCATTTTCAATGTGTAGTTAACCTCCATTTTCCTGTTATAGCAGTTATGCAGTATGTCCAATAGGTATCAGAGTTTGTCCTAGCTGTCCAGTGTACTATCTATCTGTCTGTACTATTGTGAAATTTCATGCAAAGATTTTTTTAAATTCAGAACGCTTGTTTGATTTTCTGATGGTTAGTGGACTCAAATCGACCATCATTTTCAACCACAGTGACAAGAAAATTTGAAGTAGCAGGATGAAAAATGTTTTGCAAGTTAACAAATTTCTAACTGTGAATGTAGTTTTAGTTGAGGAAAAAAAAAATTCACATTGTGATAAGCATGTTCTAGGCACAGAAGAAACCTACTGAATACTTCTGGAATTCCACTCAAGTAGCAGGTCTGGATGAAATTTTAAGGGATTTCGAACAACATTAGTTGACTAAATGATGGCATGATGAAATGTTCTCACAAAAAAATAATATCAGAATTTCCATATGAACATTCTAACAACATTTTATTTGTTTGTGGCCAGCTTAAATGACCTGGTCAGGCACACCCCCTCTCCTTCTCTGAAAAACAAGTGTGCATGCTTGGGATGAGAAGAGTGGCCATTACTATTCCAATATAGAGCACTGGAGTAGGAGCGCAGAAAGCCCTTTTCACTAAGAGAACAATGTATTTGAAGACATTCTAAAGCCTAGTACACAGGATGAGAAAATCAGATCAAAAACATCGCTTTCAGAGCAATCGTCCAATAATCTGATCGTTAGTACACAGCTTTTGAGAGCCAATCACGACAGTTCATGCTAAATTATCTGAAGGGACAAGCACAAACACTTTTCTTGAATAATACTAGAACAAACAATTTTCATTTAATCAATACAGTATTGCCCCCCCCCCCCCCAAAAAAAAAGTGACCAAGACTGTGCATGCTCAGAAATGAAAAAATACATTACAATACAATACAATACATTACACCACTTCTGAAGTTGTATTCTGTCGTATGAAAATTTTCGTAAGTTGTGTAACCTCTTCATTTTTGATATGAGACTAGCATGCAAAAACAGAAATGGACGATCATTTGTCCAATATTCTCATATGTGTACAAGGCTTAAGTGGAAATCAGTTAAAAGCACACTACATGAAGATGCCGTAGTACAACAAAACACAATAGACTCCAACTGGGCTTTAATTTTAGACTGTGTTGAACTTAGAATGTAGCATGTACAATGACTCAAGTGGCCAGTTCAAAGGTGCACAGTCTGAGAGACCATTCCTCAAATGTCACCTCACAGTTTTGTGGTCTGTAGATACTTAGATATGATATTCAGAGGCAGACTGACATAAAGACATTGGGGCCCTGTGCTGTAATCCAAGATAATTTTTTACATTTAAAGCAGTATTAAACCCCAAACCAAAAATTTAATATATTAAAGCTTACCAATCAATAAATACAGTGGCTGCATTAGTTTTTTTTTAGACTTTCCTCCCTCTGTTTTCAGCTGGTGACCTGGCCAGTAACACACCTCCTGTGTTAGAGTGCCCCCACCCTGCATGAAGGAGCACAGGGGGCACCTTTGGACAGCAGCATTGTCAGTTTGGGGCTAGGGGAGTGTTAGATGAACTAGCAGATTTAGACTTTAACAAATTGAAGGCAAATTCCAACTCATTCTTTATAATCAGTTACAGCAAACAGTTTTATTCCTTTTGGGATAAAGGTTTTACATAAATAAATAAAAGCTGATCATTGTAAGCACCCCAGCCAATGGTATATGGTTTGTCTCTTCCCTGTAAATATTCAGTATATATGTGGAAGAGAGCTTGTTGTTTTGAAAAACATCTGACTTGGGCCCCTTTTATACAGGCATTCTGTCACTTGGTTTTCAAACGGACCAGCCAATGCCCAGATCTGTTAAAATGGAACAGATGTAGACTGACTGATGTAAATTGAATGGAACTGAACTGATATAAACCGATGTAAATTGAACTGGATTGAAATAATAAACTGAACTGAAGATGGATGTGCAAACTGATGTAAACAGAATCCGTTTATTCTTTGAAAAAACATGACTGAAAGGTTAACATCTGTGTGAAACAGGCCTTACTGGCAGGATCACCAGGTGAAAATAAAGGAAAGAAGGCTTAAAAAAAAAAACTACTGCAGCCATCACATCTGAGAATTGCTAAGCTGCGATACAATGAATGTTTTCTTTTGGGTTTAAGACTACTTTAACTTTACATTAATACAAAAAAGGAACACAAAGATAAAGCAATTATGTAAATTATGTACCATAAGTAATTTAGCACAGCACATAAAAAAGCTGAAAGCTGGCATTGTTGTGATTACAGGGTGACAATTTGACAATATACTGTATAATTACATTTTACTTATATGTGCAGTCTGACTATTCCATTAGGAAATGTATTTAAGGACCCTATTATTGAGTCATGTCTAATCTGCGTGTTAGTTACAGGCTGATCTGGCCTGTTAAATATAAAGGTATATTACAGCTTGTTATATAGTAGATACACATACCAATCTTTGAAAACTATGCTACATAACATTGCTTTTTTCTGTTTGATTGATGGAGAGAAATCAACAAAACAATTCATTTACATGTGATACATTAGTCAATATAAAAGATACAATGCCATTATACCACAGGAATTCTTTATAATTGACTATGCCGATGTAAGTCAATTCAGTGCACAGTCTGTGTGACACTGTACAATGGGGTAAATGTACCAAAACTAGAGCAGACAGGTTCTGGAGCAGTTGTGCAGAGCAACCAATCAGCTTCTATCTTCCGCTTATTCAGTTAAAGTGTTACTAAACCCAGGACCCTGAATTCACTATATCTGGTCGTCCACAGTACACAGTACATGGAAATGCAATTGTTTTAGTAAATATAAACTGCTAAATTCCTTTTCTCATCAGCAGTTACAGCAGTCTTGTGACTTCTATCAGTTTCCAGCAGAGCACTGGTTAAAGCTGGTAGAAGGAGTTTTCATTTTGCTCTAGGAGGACGCAGAACCCCTGTCCCCTGTCTAGACAGTGCTGATTTGCCCTGTGCTGATCAGATGCACTCTCCCAAGAAAACAAAACCTCTCTAACAATACACTGTAAACTGAGCATGTACAGAGTGACTCTGCACAATATGTCTTATCATGAGATAACAGTGGGACACTGGAAGAAGGGGCAGATCAGAGAACTCAGGATCAAACAGCCTTTTTACACAATGCAGAGGATTAACCCCTTAGGTTCCACAGTGAGTATAACAAGCATGTTTTACTGCATATACAGACTGATTTTACTGTTCTGGGTTTAGTAACACTTTAAACTTTGAAAATGAAAGACAGAAACTGATTTGTTTCCAGTTCAATATTGTCTGCTCCAGTAACTTCAGCTTGCTCAATTAAAGTATTACTAAACCCACAACAGTAAAATCAGTCTGTATATGCTGTAAAGCATGCTTGGCATACTCACTGTGGAACATAAGGGGTTAATCCTCTGCATTGTATAAAAAGGCCATTTGATCCTGACTTCTCTGGTCCTCCTCTTGTTCAAATGTCCACGTCTTATCTCCTGATAAGACAGACTGAACCATAACCATTCTGCACATGCTCAGTTTAATGTGTATTGCTAGAGAGGTTTTTTTTTTTCTTGGGAGAATGTGTGTGATCAGCACAGGGTCAATCAGCACTGTCCAGACAGAGGGTCAGGGGGTGTGCATCCTCCTAGAGCAGAAAGAAAACTCCCCCTGCAAGCTTTAACCAGTGCTCTGCTGGACAATGATAGAAGTCACACGACTGCTATATATTGCTGAAGAGAAAAGGTACTTAGCAGTTTATATTTACTAAAATAAATGCACTTCCATGTTCTGTGTACTGTGTGAGTACTGTGTGAGCCCAGCGTTGCGTCACGTTGTTACATGACTTCATCAGGGTATCCTGATACCCTGAAGAAGTCACATGACAACATGACACAACGCTTTGGTACGCAACTTCCGGTGACGCGGTGACGCACTTCCGGGCGTGGTGGCCATCTTGGTACACCCAACAAACCCATGCAGTGCACCCATATACATGAGGTTTAAGAGTCTGTTAACTGGGGACTAAATGTGAGTGTAAATTCTGTTTCTTATGACATTTTATTGATTAAAACCGTTACTGCACCATGGAGGATTCTTTTTTTTTTTCACCAACATGATCCTGAGTGGGGGTGAGCTATATTGCGGTACCTGTGCCAGGAGGGACCTGAGTGGTAGTATACAAAGGAGCTTGTGTGGCGTTTATCTCCTGTGACCAGTTTACATCTATTAGGATCGGGAGGTGATCCTTAAAAGCGTGCTGGCCCTTGGTGGTCACGTTTTGGAGGTGAGGGGCCATTTCGGCCATTTCTGAGGAGTTTTTTCACCAGAGTGAAGATCACTGTTGTTTCACGGCATCACTTGCATGAATTATGTGAAGATCACGACCTTACTTATATATATATATTTTATGTTTTGTTGGACATTATTTTTGTGTATGCTTTTTTGTGATGTATATTATGCTTTAAAGGAATTTTATGTGTCACTAATCACTATTATTATTTGTCCCTAATAAGGGAGTCACTTGATACACTATTTGTTTAGTCCCAGTATTGGGACAGGAGGGGGATTATTACATATATTCTATTATTTCCAAGTCACTTGTTATGTATTATAACAGGGTTTCCTGTTTTTCACTATTTGTTTCACACGTTTGTTCACGATTGGATACATATTGTATCTGAGCACTGTGTGTGGATTATACATATTGTTCTATAG